TCCTTCAGGAACATTACGCCACGGCATTATCAAGCAGTGTAGTTAAGCAAAAATGTTTTTAAGTGCACAGAGATCACTTTCATAAAAATGCAAAATAGTTCGCGCAACAAGGATCCAAACCCTCGACCATGTGTTCGTGAACCCTACGACGTATCCACTCGGCCATGCTGCCACGAACTCACGCATGCTGCCACGATCTCATCAGCCTTACGCCGCCAATTTGTAGTGTATTCCCCTAAAAAGCTCCGTAACTTCTTTCTGGGAGGTCCGCAGCAGATATGGAAGACGGTTTCGTAATTCCCGTCCGAAGACCTTTCTTCGGTATACATTTCATTTCAAATGGCCACTTCGACCTACCATCCTTCCCTTGTAAGTTCGTCTGCGCTCTGCTGACGCTAGCCTAAAGGGAAGCACTCCTTATCGCAGGTCCAGCCTTAGAGGAGCGCTAAATGGCGCTGCTGTCGAAGAATGAATTCTCATATTTGTGGATCGGGGCATCAAGCGATCTATCATGCAGGTTTTTCAATTTTTATAAAGAAGGATGTGGTGCCAAATGGCGCCTAGGGCGAAAACTAATGTGGCGTTTGTGATCATGACATCAAGTAACCCTATTGTGCAAATTTACCTCGAATTTGGTGAGGAAGGTGGCGGAGCTGAACCGTCACCAAATGGCGCCAAGTTGGCGTCAGTGCCGAGAATGAGTGTTATATTCGTGATCGAGACACCGTATTACCCCAGTGGGCAAAGTTTCTGCAGAAAATTTTTTTGACTTTTTGGGGTAGTAATATGTAGTTGAATTGTGCCTGCTGTTGTTAATGAATGGATTGCAGTTCTTTACCCAGAACGCCTCGAGGGTTTTTCTAGCAGTAACACCATTTTCTTGGGCCAATATTGTGCATTTACCTTCAAAATCACAGCCGCCATGATTTTCTTACTCCCCTTTTCCCTCTGCTTGGCAAGCGGTGCAACAAAACTTTCCTGTATTTTGCTAGCCAGGTGTTCCTCTACTCGTATACTAGTTGCCTCGCAGTTTCACCGAACTGATGAAGCGCAAGTTGAACATTGAATGTGGTAAATTACAGCCATGTGCACAGTCACCAACTTTCCCGTACGGACTAACCCCGCAGTTCTCGATGGTCAGACTCGATCATAGAGGCGATTTCTAACCGACTGGTGTTTCATATTGTCCCTTGGTGTACTTGCCACTCAGTTTTCAACTTGAATATGAATTCTTTTCCATGTAGTTCCCTTTGGTCTGAGTTGCCACTAATTAAGGACGGGCTCATGTTAAACAGGATAGGTCGTATTTCACGAGTTTCGGTATGCTTTCAGGCCTTTGAAAACGACGAGATTGTCGAAACGTCAGGCGTAATAAACATCCCATAATACAAATCTGTCCCGCATAAGAAAAGTTTTATCGATCACCTGAGCACAAAATGCCTAGGTTACAAGAAAGGCGAACATGGAGTTTACTACAGTATATACCGCCGAATGTGATCCGCCTATGGAGAGAAGTAATATCATTACATCAGGAAATTGTACTCACCCGACAATCCCTCTTGTTTCTGCAATGCTGTAAGGCAACCGAAGTTCTTCCAAGTTCATACTGAACAAAAAACTCAGATCAGTGTGCGGCTTACCTGATACACATCCAAGAATAATGAGACTATACCGATCGCTATTGAGTGTGTTATCAGAGAAAAACAACACCTACTGTGTACGATGCTGTTAAAATGCACCAGTAAAGAAGAATCCTGTCGTCGCCTGCTACCACGTGAAACATGGACAAGGATTGAAGGTGAATCGAAACAGATATGCGATTCTATCCGTTCAATGCAAAAGCTACGCTCTGTGCCCAGTGCAATTCACTGAGTAGTGAACAGCGGGTAGAGAATTCTGCCAGCAGCTACTTCCTAACCAACCCCAGCCGATACGAATGTGAAAATGCTCAACATACTGATACCGAGTAGGCAAGAGTCACAATTATTAACGATTCACAAATTTCATCTCAAGATTTTTTGAATTTGGGGTCATTGTTCTCATCGACGCAAATGATCAGTCCGCTTACGAATCGCAAGATAGTTAGCGGTTTGCAAAAATTTAGAAATCAGTTGAGAACGAAGGCATGACGCGACCCCTAGAGAAATGTGGGTGAAAGGTTGGAGCATAGTTCTTCAAGCGTTCCAACATCCATTCCGTTCCCGCGGATATCAAGTTTTGGATATTATCCTCGAGAGTGCTCGAAGCGCTCAATAGATTTAAGCAAGAAAAGCGCACTAACTTGACGAGGGAGCATGGGAAGGGTTCAAGGAGATCCGGGATAGAATATCGCGCAACGAAATACGCCTTTCTGTCAGCGACAAGGGTGGAGAATTTGTGGTATTGCCCCAATCCATGGATAGGAAATCACAGAGCTCCATCTATCGGATACAACTGTTTACCGTCCATCGACAGAAAATGCCTTTCATGCACAAACGCACAAGTTAAACACGCTATGGATGAAAGTGGGCAAATCAGCGAGGCTAGATGATAAAATTATCAGAAGGCTCAAGCTAGAAAACCCCACATGCCCAGTGTTTTACAGTCTTGTGAAAACTCACAAGTTGTCCGCTGAAAGCGTGCACTCTCGTTTGCCAAAGGTCTTCAAAATAAGACCGATTATAAGCTGTGACTGACCGATCGCACTGCGTGGTTTCTCAACAAAATTGTCGGTCGACTTTTTGTGTATACACCATCACATCTGTCAAACCGCGCCAATTCCTAGATCGCTTACTTTCCTGCAGACTTCAGCACGACTGTGTTGTAGAATCGTTTGACGTGTCGTCGCTCCAGACCAACGTTAGCAACAAGCGAAGCTTCACAAGCAGTAGCGGAAATGCTTGAGAAGCATACAAGAAGATGATGAAATTTGTTCGCAAGACACAGTGATGGTTTTTATTGATGAGTTTCTGAACTG